ACTGTTTTGGAGATTTGTGGATGCACTCTCTATTTTTTACCAGGTCAGATTCGCTTACAGAAACATCATGAATAGCCGTCATAAAAGTAAGAGTTAGTCACCGAGAACGGAGGCATTACGCTATATACAGCCCGAGGGCTGTATATAGCGTAATGGCGACGTGCGAGGTAACTAACAAACTGGTGTGTACGTGCTTGGATAGAATGGACCGAGGAGCTGAGAGGAGTCACACTATTACTTCTGATTCATACACGTTGGTCAATTCCCAAGTTTAGATTCTTTTAAAGTAACGAAGATGTTGGTTATTGTTGTCTCTATTCTCTTCAGAAAAGCTGCTGCAGTGGAACTCGAACTTATTAAAGCCGATTTAGACGTTGAAACTTGGCCTACAACCGGCATCGCATGCAACCTGCGTAAGTCATCGTTACAACATGGCTACAACTGTCGTAGAGATTAAAATCAATTGTTTGATAACCCTACGACAGTTGTAGGCACGTTGCATGCGATAGTTGTAGGCAAAAATTGCACCGTCTATAAATCGGGCTTTATAACGTTCTCAATCTCCTCAAGTTTTTGCTGGCCACACTAGTCTTTTTTAGGGGGGAAAAATAGTTTAGTTTACTTAGTTTATTTGATATTCGCAGAGAAATGTGGGGTTGATGAACTGAATTGAATAGCTCGTTATAAATTCAGCGGGCTATATATGAGTGATCCCGGTCAGCCCTCTGAATTTATAACGAGCTATTCAATTCAGTTCATCAACCCCACATTTCCCTGCTGCATATCAAAACCCTCCCCGGCTTAAGTTTCTATCATATATACAACCCTATGAATAACAAAGAAAACCTAGTGATTGGAAACGAATCAACAAATAACTATATCAGTATAAATTTTATTTATCACTTTGATAGGTTGTATGTTGTCAAAATGTGTGAATATGTGATATATGAGAGAGCACATCACAAGAGGGGTCTTATCTCTGGAGGAAATATTGTTTCATTCACCCAGTGCATGTCCCCTTTTGTGTTATCAATCCTCATCATTGTCCTGTCTACACGTGACTTGCGTGTGCTGTGCTGCATAAGTACAGGGCAAGATTAGAGAGTACTTTACAAAATAGTCTCCTTCACGGTTAACTGCGCCATCTTGAAAGGTAGCCTTGCCTTTGCATCGAAGCGAGACAACCGTTGAGCGTACAATGATAGATACCTTCTTTCACACCTACTGACAATTATTCACAGGTATCTATCATTGCGCGCTCAACGGTTGTCTCGCTTCGATGCAAAGGCAAGGCTACCTTTCAAGATGGCGCAGGTAACCGTGAGGGAGACTATTGGTCTTAATTGGCGGAAATATCTAGCCGGCAAAGCCGTGTTTCATGCATGTGTGGCAGTCTGATTTTTGTACATTTCATAGGCATGTTGCAACAGGCTCTTAAGAGCTCACGCATTTAGGCCTGGGTCCGAGTCAGGCTCCTCGTGTGTGTCGTCTTTGTAATTTAGTAGTTTTTGAAAGAAGTTTGTACAAGGAACAAGAGAAGACTGTTAAATTTGTGTTGTTTATGTTTCTCCAATTGTTCGCGAAACCCCACTGTTACATTTTGGCGCCCAACGTGGGGCATTGAAGTGAAAATAATGGAGATTACCGATGAAGAAAAGATGAAAATCGAGCGTGACAGAGTTGTTGGCCTTCTACGAGAAGAAAAAGAAGAAATTCCTATTGAAGCGCTGGTGGGAAAATATACAGCTAAGTACAACTGTGACTTGAAACTTTGGAAGGATGAATTTGTAAAAATCGAGGCCTTTCTTGTTCATTCGTGTAAAGCCAAGGTGAATGGTTCGAGTGTTAAAATAATAAGTGATGAGCCGAAAGCT